CGGGCTGCAGGGTAGTCCAGGCTGCACAGAACAGGAAGCAGGCCGGCACATATGACCATGCGGCGCACACACCCACGTCCAGTGTCCCCACAGGAAGGTTCATGGAAGGGAGTCAGAATGGACACCGAGTGTCAGTTGGCCTGTCCACCCAGCATGGGGCGTGAGGGAGGAAGGGGTCATCGAGGACAGCACCAACATTTCTTCCATGCAGACCAACCTGGATGGTGGGCCTTTAGCTGGGGATAGGTTTACGGTACATATCGGGTGGCCGTGAAGTGATATCCAATGACTCTGGGTTCCGCAGGTCTGAGCTCAGGACAGATCTGTATTTGGGAGAAGTCTGGGGAGATTAGAAAGTCTAAGCCACGTCACCAGGGCACAGTGTAGGTGGTGAAGAGGGTTCAGGGCAAAGCCCTTAGACCCCAGCTTTTGAGGTCCTATGAAAGAGGGGGCCCTCTAAAGGAGACTGGGCAAAGGGGGAAAATGTGGAGTCAAAGAAATCAAGCGGGAATACTGCTGGTTCTCAAAACATATTAACTTGTTCCACAAGCATTTACTGAGCACCCATTCAGAGGGTCGGGCTCTCTGGGAATGGGTGGAAGAGAGGTCCTGATGCATCTGTGAGATCCTCAGGCCTAGCAGCAATTCATCTTGGAGGGTGATCTCACTTTCAGAGAAAGCCAAGATTATTTAGAAAGCAGCAGGATATCAGGATGACAAATACCTGATCCTGAAAAAATGCAAGTCAATTTGAAGTTCAGGAGCATTTACTGTGTGCAGGTGCTGAGCCTCACAGACATGCCCTTGGGGGCTGGTGGGGGTCACACAAGTAAATGATCAAGAGGCAGGGAGAAGCTTGCTGGGATGGTGAGAAAGGAGCCAAGACCAGGGCTACTGACCTGGGGGAGGTCGGGTGGGCGGCACGCCCATGGGCAGGGTCCTGTGGATTCCTCCCTCATCCCTGGTGGGGATTTGAGCAGACTGGGCAGGCTCAGTCCCTCTCAGACATGCAAGCATCATGCCCTTGAACGTGACCTGGGGGCTCCTGATCCCGGCAAGCCCGCAAGGGTAGTTTTTCTCGAGAAGCTGGGATTAAGCGGCAACAGCACCAGACCCTCTAGTGGCTGACTCGCTCCAGCTCTTCACCACCAACCTGGGTTTGTCATCTCTTCTTTCACGGGCCAAAGCTCATCCTCCGAACAGTGGGAGGGGATTTAGCTGGAGGACGGAGTCTGTCAGTTAAATCCTCAGAGTGTCTGCAGCTAACCGGGCCAAGTGCTGTGCATACATTATGTGTATCACTTAATGCTTACAGCAACCCGCAGGCAGGTTCCTTAGTGATCCCTGTCTACAGGGAGGTAACAGCCAGAGCTGTTATGCAACTTGCCAAGGTCATGCAGGTAATAAAGGGCAGAGGCCCTTCCTGAAACCTGC